ATTAGTAATAACTATACTTAAATAACGACGACGGTGACAGTAATGATAATGCAACAATGTATATAATACATCAAAAGTTTACCAGCGTGTTGATCTCTCTCTTCTCTCTTCTCTCCCCCCTCTCCCTTTTCTCTCTCTCTAACTCTTCTCTCCTCTCTCCCCCCTCTCTCTCTTTTCTGTCCCCACCCCTCTCTCTATCTATCTATCTCTCCCTCTCCCTCTCCATCCTTACAGCTTTGCAAGAAGGAGCGGAGAGAGACGCAGTCATGAAAAGCGACCCCAATGCTTCAGCTGGCTATCAAAGAGCTCTGCAATACGTGTTTCCAGCTGGGATGGACTTCCCGACAGCTACTAACGGTGCCATGGCGACACCTCTTGCACGCTGATTGCACTGGCAGAATAGAGGTTCACGAGATTATATAGCTTGGCAGTTAGGGATAACGATTTTTTTTTCTTTTTTTTGTGAGGACTTAATTAATGAGGAGATACTCATTGCTTTTGGTGTGGTAAGATTTTAATGTAAATGCTTGACTTTAATGAAAGCTATTTCTTGTGCAATAAAGAGGGATCAAAGTTGTTTTTTTCTTTATTTTTGTTATACAAGTGAAAGAAAATGTAACAATGGCCGAGCACGCAATTAATTCATGGTAATATTAGTGATGATAACGCTATTAATAAGAATTATGAGAATATGTGTGAAAATTATAATAAATCAATAATAATATTCATAATTAAGATAATAATGGTAGATATCAATAGTATTGCTAAGCATTAAAGGAAAATACCAAACAAATGAAAATAATGTAATAATAATAATAATGAAATAATGATCGATAAAACATAAAGGGTATTAATGTCAGATATAAATATAATGATATTCATAAGATCAAAATTAATAATAATAATTATTATTATAATAATGATAATGGTATCACCAAGAACAATAGTGGTAAGGCGTTTATAATAATCATAATCATATTCATCGTTAATATTATGATCATTACCATTCCAGATTATAGCATGGTGTCAGTGCTCATTCTGGTGAAGGTGGCTATGGTTATGATTGTCATGATTAATGTTTGCTCCTTCATACTCGTATGAAAATTTCCTTATTTCCTTTATGTAATGTATGTGTGTGTGAGCATAAACACGCACATACACATACACACAAGCACATTCTACAAACACGCGTGTGTATATCATATATATGTATATATATATATATATATATATATATATATATATATATATATATATATATATATATATATTTATATACGTATATATATGTATACATATATATATGTATATATATATATATATATATATATATATATATATATATATATATATATATATATATATATGTATATGTATATATATATATATATATATATATATATATATATATATATATATATATATATATGTATATATATATATATATATATATATATATATATATATATATATATATATATATGTATATATGTGTGTATATATATATATATATATATATATATATATATATATATATATATATGTATATATATATATATATATATATATATATATATATATATATATATATATATGTATATATGTGTATATATATATATATGTATACACACACACACACACACACACACACACACACATATATATATATATATATATATATATATATATATATATATATATATATATATGTGTGTGTGTGTGTGTGTGTGTGTGTGTGTGTGTGTGTGTGTGTGTATTACAGTGTACACATTTATACACATGTGTGTTTATAAGCATGTTTATGCATATATACATCTATAAATTCTTGTTTATCCTCCAGTTCTATATAAAAATTATCACCACATTTTTCTTGTCATATACAGCACTCAAACATATCTTAAATTAAACTGCTCTGCAACACCTCTAAGTGCTTCCTTATTCTCCAAAACTCTTAACTGCTGCTTTCATGACATTAGGAAGTGTCGTCACCCAGTCTGTCTTCAGTTTAACATTAGTTAATGGGGGTAAGACATTACAGCAAGAACTAGCCCGTAAGAACGACCCCCACTATTAGTGTCCCTTATTCTTTGCTACTTTTGGCCAAGATGAATGGCAACATGGCCAGGGCATTGTGTTCATTATATAACCATTTCACACCCTTTATACTAGTAATTAATGATCAAGTTACTTCAATTGATGCCACAGATATGACACGATAACTAAGAACACACAAAAATCTTTGACCTTCAAAAACCTTAAATTTCCCCTACCTTATCACCTAATTACATTTCATACTGAAGGTGTACCAACTTGGACGCGTAACAATTAAACCTGGTCTCCCTATATATATATATATATATATATATATATATATGTGTGTGTGTGTGTGTGTGTGTGTGTGTGTGTGTGTGTGTGTGTGTGTGTGTCTTTATATATATATATATATATATATATATATATATATATATATACATATATATATACATAGTTATACAGTTATATTTACATATATGTATATATGTATATATCCACACCCACATACACGCACACACACACATACATATACATATACTTATCTACATATATTTATACATATTTGTAAATGCACACACACACACACACACACACACACACACACACACACACACACATATATATATATATATATATATATATATATATATATATATATATATATATATTGACAATAGATAGGTTCGTTATCACAGTCTCCGTTATTCTGCACTTCCACTTTTTCAAAATCTTCATGGTTAGTGAGACAATTGAGCGATGACATAAGATTCCGGAATTTCTTCACACAAACACGAAGATAATCGTCAGCTCCCAATTACCTGTGGAAAAGGAATTTGCAAACAGTGATAAAGTGAAGGCAAGCAGTGGTCAAAGTTTTATCATAGCTTGTAAACCTCTAATCAACCTTATCGCAATAGTTATTAAGGATTACCTAATCTCATTTTCTTTTATCACAAAGGAAGAAAGCTTTGTTGTGAATCTGTCTTGTCAGTACGTGATTGTTCTAGTCATATCTGATCTGTCATTGAAAACGCCTTTAGATACTGAGCCTTGACAGATAATTTGGTATGTACTTTTGGTATGTACTTGGTAAGTATATAAGTATAAGTATGTCGTCGCTATTACTTTAACTATTCCTAATGTCATTACTATTACTATTATTATCATTATCATCGTTGTTGTATTTTTATCATTATCATCATCATCATCATCATTATCATTATCACTATCACTATCACTTTTGCAATTAGTATCAATATCATTATCATTTTTATTATTATTATTATCACCATTATCATTATTATTCCTATTATCACTATTATCATTACTACTGTTATACATTATTATAACTATCATCAGGGGATATATAAAATCCCAAGTATTTTACAAACAGTATCTTAGGAACAGGAAGAAAAACTGTTGACTTCCTTGAGAAACAGTAAAATAATTATATAACATATGAACAGATACATTAAGTTATAACCTGAAGTTGCACAGGTCTGTGATGCAGGTTAATAAAAAGACTTTTCATTTTTACATTCAACTTTTTTTTTTATTTTCTACCTTGCAGATATTCTGAATTCAGCTTTTATGCTATAACAATGGTACCCAGTTCAAAGTCGTCGTCGGAAGCTGAATTCTGTGAAAGGAACAATGCAGAAAAGATTATTATACCTACCAAATCGTTATCTAATGGTTTAAAGTGTGTAAATGTATGTGTGTGTGTGTGTGTGTATATATATATATGCCTACGTAAATATATATGTGTATGTATATATATATATATGTATATTAAACACACACACACATACACATATGCACATATGTAAATAAACAAGTTCTAATCACATTCCTTACCTTGGGTTCAGTTAGGTTGGAAATACGTCCTCTTCCTAAAAGAACCGAAACGGTTTGCCATCATTAGAGGGTGAGTTGGAAGCGTCATTGTCTGAAGCTGCCTGCGTTGAGGGCATTGAGGGGTAGGAACTTGCGGGACTAAACATCGAGAAGAATGGCATTGCAGCCTCACCACCGAAAAAGGGGGAAGCATCTGGTGTTGGGGGGTAAACGATGGTAAGTGAGCGGGAGGATTCTGAGGATTGTGAGGGGGACTCCTCTGGAGTCTCTGACGGCTGAGGAGGAGAGGGCGGTGGCTGAAGCATGGTTGGTAGAACTGAGAACATTGATGGTTGAAGAGGGAACATAGGGGAAGTAACAGGCATAAATGGTGAGTGAGGAAGGGCCATAGGAGGGTGAACGGGCATAAATGATGGATGAGGAAGGAACATAGGGGGGTGAATAGGCATAAGTGGTGGGTGAGGAAGAACCATAGGAGGGTGGACGGGCATAACTGGTGGATGAGGAAAGACCATAGGAGGATGAACGGGCATAACTGGTGGATGAGGAAGGACCATAGGTGGGTGAACAGGAAGCACTGGTGGATGGGAAGCAAGTAAGGCTGTTGGTGGGTGGTACATCACTGGAGGACTAATGGGGTGTTGGCACAGGGATGGCATAATGGAACATGGTAAATTAGGAGCCACTGGAAGAGCATGGCCTCCAAGCATGCTAGGCAGGACGGGGCTGGGGACCCCATAAGGAAGAATCAGGGGACTGGGCGCCGGTTTGGACTCGACGTCGACCAGGAGCCGCAAGGCCAGTGCCACAACGAGCTGCGGTGTGGCGAGATTAGAATAATAAAGTGTCATGTCTATGCGTTGAATTGGGGTCAGCATTTGTTCATGAATCAGAACTTGCATAGCAAAATTCGTTACAAGAACCCATCAACTTAAATCCATAAGGAATGTGAACACACAATTGGTGATCAACAAAAAACGGTCATGGCTTAGATATACATAGTCATGAAAGAGTCTCCTGAATCACCGTATTATGATTACTGACTTGGACAATCATATCCAAAATCTATCATGTAGCGATTTTGCTGCACTTACCATTCTCAAAAACATCTTGGACATCGATGCTGAACCAAGGAGAAAAGAAAAGGAAATGTGGCTTTCTTTCTTCATCATCGACTTATATACTATCATCCAGGAAATTAATATGTATTTTATCAGCTTCCAATTTCAAGAAGAGATATACAAGAGGAAGAGACGTCAACAAAGATAGATTGAATTTTGACGTGTTTAGAGTTAAGACATTGGGCGATCATATGGTGGACTGTTTTGTAATAATGTTTGGATTTTTTCCCAAAATCCTAGGCAACGAGAATCGTATTACGATTGTGATCTGAGGCACACGATTGCTGTGTAGTCATTTTCCTGACAGGAGTAGCTGACATTCACTCTAAAGTTTTCAGACTTTCATGTACCATGATAGGAGGGATTACTAGTCTCTGGTCTCTGGTATTGATGCCTATGCCGCCTGCAAAGTAGATTGTTCATGGAGCTACAGAGACACTGGGCAGCAAAAACAGCATTAAGAGAACAGTTTTCATGACGATATGCTATGTAGGAATGAGATGTATTTGGTAGGCTCTGACTATACCTACACCAGAAATACAGATAACCGATTAAATACATCCCTTGTACTATGAAAATATTCATTCTCATTCATTATTTTTTCTCAGCAACTGCAGCATATCACAAGACTCTGAGGTTGAGGAATAAATTCGAGCTTGGGGTTCCTGAGGCTTATACAGAATGGCATCTAGTCGATAGTAGGTCGCTATGCTATTTACGGTGCTCAGCTTGAAATGAGCAAGGAGAGATATTGCAGCCAAATAGAGGTTGAGAGTGTTTATACAGAATGGCATCTAGTCGATAGTAGGTCGCTATGCTATTTACGGTGCTCAGCTTGAAATGAGCAAGGAGAGATATTGCAGCCAAATAGAGGTTGAAGAGTGTGAGGGCGAGGACAAATCCCTGTTTGACCCCGCAGACACTTGCTAATGGAGACTTGTTGACAATTTCTTATGAAAATCTTTTCACGTTTAGAAAGCCAGCTCTTTTTTCCATTACTTTCCACAGTATTTCTCTTTCATTCTCTATCATATCCTAATAAAAAAATGTGGTGCTCCTATCTTTGCAAAAGACACATCAGTTTCCAGGGAAGACAAGGTCGGATATAGATGCTAGCAGCCTATTGAGGATATAAGCAATGGCAAACGACTAAGAGATATATGCCTCAGTTGTTACAACAGCCCAGAGTTGAACTGTATAAAATAAAAAGGCAATTAAAATAGTTATCAAAAGGCAGATATATGTGTGTGTGTGTGTAAAGTATAAAGAACACAATCCAGCTTTTTAATTATAAAAAAATATATATTTTTTTTCTTCCTAACCATACAAGCTAATGGTAAATTGCAAAAGGATATCACTATAATTAGAAATACAAGTTGAAAAGTTGCCTTTGATATGCCTTTTGTTCTCTGTGCTTTGATGACTGCAAATCAATTTTGATTAAACGCCTAGGGCCTAATGATGAATGTGTCAATACAGAAACCTTTACAAATCTATAAATGGTATTTTATCATAATGTGATGAAATATAGGAATATCAATGAACCTTTAAATATGTGTTGGCTGTAATTATTGCCGTTTATTATAATTTATCCAATATTTGTATAGTTCATTATATTAATATAACTACATTCATTCGTGTAAATATTTTCCTCTTATCCATTGTTTGGTAAAACAATTGTTTTTGGCATTATTCTGTATGCTACATTGGAAATATACTTTTTCATCATGACTAGACCTTGAAGATACATTTTATTTAATCAATATCTGTTTTATTTTCATTATCATTTAAGCTCTCTGTTGAAACATGTAGCATCGCTATGTTACCAGGTAATGTGATCGTTTAAATATGTGTGTGTCTGTGTGTGTGTGTGTGTGTACATATACAACATAAAAATTGGTAGAAATATCAATACCATAAAGGTCGCCGACATCCCATTTATCAAGATTATCAAGATATTTTCACTCCAACTTGATGAAAATACTAATCCTGCGTCATTAACTTTATTCATTGCAAATATTACATATCATTTTGTTTCTTTTTTTCTTAGTTTCATATTCTAAGCTTTTTTTTTTACCATTGTTGTTATTGAACCATTACCAAAGCAAATGTACTGAAATATCAGGTATAGCTTAATCCATACATATTTGTATAATTTATTTGATACTGTTATTCCTACCAGAAGTTCTACCAAAATCCCTCTCTTTTTTCTGATAAATAAGAGTACCTTACCATTAAAAGTCGTCTGAATAAACTTGGGAAAAGTATCATTTTGAGGGACAACAGGCTAAATGGAGGTGGAGCTACCTGGTTATACGTACCTTGCCATTCGTAGTGGTCAGTTATGGCCCACGATGTATATAAAATAATACAATTCTTCTCTGAGGAATAACTGGAATGAGTTATGAGTTTTACGATTAGCTATTATTTCTAGTAGTACTAAGTTTTAGTGAAGTATGGCGAACAGGATACAGAAATATACAGGATAATTGAGCGAGGTTAGCTATCGAACACAGCGTATCACACTCCTCACTTTTTTTTGTCTTGTTTACAGCCGATTTCGTGTCAACCGTTAAAACTGGATATCTGTAAAGCACAGAAACGGGAACGCCAGGTACGAGAGTAACTTTTTTTTCCTAAGTTTATAAAGTAATAAGTGAAAGTAGATGGCAAAACGAAGGTAAATACATTGACTCTAAGAGGCCATGCTATATCTTGCTCTATTTGTTGTTTGCAATATGAAACCAGCTCATAGTGTGGTTGTTATTAACGACATTACCATATAAGTTACTGGCCTAGCAGCACTTGTATCATAATAAAACTTTAACTAGCTTATGCTGTACATAGTTGATTTAATGCATGACCTAGAATTGATTTCTGGAACTATAATATACACATGTTTATAAGTGCTTAGTAATCAGTTTTCCTTAGTATTTTGAAATATTCTGGTGAAAATGATACAAAATGGTTAGTGCAGTGGGTAATGGTTAATTATTATAGTTATCATCATTATCATTGTCATCACATCACCACCACAACCATCATTATTATTATTAATCTAAGGAAGAGTGCTATTATATTTAAAACCTCCTGAATATTAAAGAATAATATTTATTTTTGGAAAAGAAAACTTTATACACCCAACTTCATGGTTACGTTTTACCAGAAGTCAAAGTAATCGACTGTTCTCTGAGTAACATTTATTGTCTGTAAGTGTTTCAGATAAAATTATGTTTTATTAAGAAAGGGAGTAGAGATAACTGAATGCATAATCTCCTTCATTACTTACAATTTCTGCAAAATAATTCACTGAGGTAATCTTAATTTACATTAAAAAAAATCAGGCAACCGTTAATTTTACTTTACTTTTAATTTTAAAGATTGCAGCATGAATACCAGTAAACTTTCTATGAAATGGACTTTTTTACTGTAAACATGATTTAAGCACGAAATTTCTGTCTTTATGTTGTTGAATATTTTCCCCAAAGTAAAATCTATTTATAGTCACCTGCTCACTATGGGCAAGTGGTTTCATAGAAAAAAAAACGAGATTGACAACAGTAGTCACGTACCGTGAATCACACTTTAAAACATTTTTTGAAAACTGTAAAGCCATCTTCTAAATATTATTCCGAACAAAAAATAAACAAAGCTCTTCCTTTGTCTTAATTCTGAACCCCTAGTAACCTTCGTTTTATCTTTGTTTACATCTCTCCTTTCAACCAATAACAGGAGGCTGGCATATTACTTATAAATTCCCTGGAGACAAGTATAAAAGGCCAGCAAGGGGAAAGGAAGTCACTCTCTTCTCTTTTCACTCTGGTTTAACATCGAAATTCCAACAGATGTTTCCGAAAACAGTAAGTGCAGAAACGCAGTATGTTAAGACAGAAGAATAGTATGTATAGAATAGTAAAAGTAACCGTAATGCCTTCATAAAGAATTGTGTAATTCTGATTTAGAACCCATTTCAGCGATGGTATGTAGCAAAACTTATTTTTAATTTGTCACCATCATTTATTTACATTAATCATATATGAAACCTTTCCGTTACTGACAACGACTTGTGGTTCAAAAAGTTTGTACCAAAATGCAGGATACATTTTCCCTAGAGCACCACAGATACATTATACACTTTTTCATCTTCGTATCCCTTCGCAGCTCGTTGTGGCATTGGCCTTTGGGCTGCTGGTCGCCGTCGTGGCCAAACCGGCGCCCAGTCCCCAGATTCTTCCTTATGGCCCCGTCCTGCCTGGCCATGGTCTACCCCTGACACCAACCTCTGTGGTACCTCCAGCCGTTCTTGCTCCCCATCCACCAATGCTTCCTATGCACTCACCTATGGCGCTCCCTCAACCACCAATTACGCCTGTTCATCCCCCTATGGCGCTCCCTCAACCACCAATTATGCCTGTTCATCCCCCTATGGCGCTCCCTCAACCACCAATTATGCCTATTCATCCCCCTATGGCCCTCCCTCAACCACCAATTATGCCTATTCATTCCCCTATGGTCCTCCCTCCCTCACCTATGTTACCCGTGCACCCGTCTATGTTACCTCATCCACCAATGCTTTCTACGCCAATGATCCCACCAATGTTTTCCGGCCATCCACCGATGATGCCTATGTTAGGTTAGGAAGAAGACGTGGCACCAACTAGCTCCGAGGTAAGCGCCAAGATGTATTATTGTTTTTTATATATTAGAGAGATGTACAGAGGTAACAGATAGATAAGCAGATGTGTGTGTGTGCGTGTGTGTGTGTGTGTGTGTGTGTGTGTGGTGTGTGTGTGTGTGTGTTGTGTGTGCGTGTGTGTGTGTGTGTGTGTGTGTGTGTGTGTGTGTGTGTGTGTGTGTGTAAGTGTAAGTGTGTAAGAATCCATTATTAATGCCCACTCATAGTTAATCTATAAAAAGAAAGAAGATATTTTTCACCATCTCAGAACTCCCCAAATAATAGGAAAAAATCACTGGCAATAACAAAGAAA